TGAACCAGAGGAAGCGCGCGCACTTGGGCCTCTGACGCGCGCTGGCCATGAGACTAATTGTCCAGATGCCGAACTGGGCTGTCTCCCCTGTCGCGTGGCGGGCAGGCGCACGCGCGGCCCGTTCGAGCGCGCTCACTTCCGAGGCGCACGCCGTCGCCAAGCGGAAGCTTCAGAACTACCAGAGGGCGCGCAAGGTCGCGTGCCCGAGGTGCGCACTCGGGCTTCTGGCTCTCATTGATGTTTAGACTAACTTGCCCGCTGCCGCGCTGTTTCGCCGATCGGAAAATCCGAATTTCAAGAAAGTGCGCAAGGTCGTTTACCAGAGGATGGGCGCGCACCTTTGCCTCTGACGCGCGGCGCGCTTTGGCCACGAGACCCGCTTCCTGTTCGAGCGCGCTCATTTCCGAGGCGAAGGCCGTCGCCGAGCGGAGGTGCCAGAGCTTCAAGACAGCGCGCACGGTCGTTTGCCAGGGGAAGGGCGGGCGCTCGGACCGCTCATTGGCCATGACTGATTCGCTCCGCTTTTGAGCTCGAATTGCCTTCCCTGTCGCACGGAGCGTAGAAATCGACGCAGCCTGTTCGAGCGCGCCCAATGTCGAGGCAAAGACCGTCGCCAAGCAGACGTTCCACAACCTTTGCAAAGCGCGCAAGGTCGCTGACGAGAGGAAGGGTGCGCGCCCGGGCCTCGGGCGCTCATTGGCCATGACTGCCTTGTCCGAATGCCGAACTGAATTTACTTCCCCGCCGCGCGCGGAGCGAAACGCGCACGCAGCCAGTTCGGCCTGGCTCGTTTCCAAGGCGCAGGCCGTCGCCGAGCGGAAGCGCCAGCACCTCGAGAGAACGCGCAAGTTCGCTGGCTACAGAACGGGTGCGCGCGACCGGGCCCCTGGCGCGCATTGACCATGAGACTGGCTTGTCCCTCGGCAGACCTGAATTGCTTCAGTTATCGCTCCTGTCGCGCGGAGGGTAAAAATCGGCGCGGCCCGCTCGGGCGTTTTCACTTCCGACCCGCAGGCCGCCGCGAAGCGGAAATTTCATAGCTTCAAGAAAGCGCGCAAGAGCGTTCACCAAACGCCCGGAGGAAAGGTGCACACGCGGCCATCTGACGCGCGTTGGCGATGAAACTGGCCTGCCCCGCTGCCGAGCTGAACTGCCCCCCTCTGCATTGCGGAGAGTGAGAATCGGGGCGGCCTGCTCGAGCGCGCCCATTTCTAGCGCGCAGGCCGCCGCCTGGCGGAAGTTTCAGAATTGCAGGACAGCGTGCGAGATCGTGTACCCGGGGTTGCGCACTCGGGCCTCTGACGCGCATTGGCCATCAGATTGGCCCGCCTGGCTGCCGAACTGAACCGTTTCTTCTCCTGTTGCGCGAGGAGCGAACATTGGCGCGGCCTGTTCGAGCGCGCCCACTTCCGCGGCGCAGGGCGTCGCCGAGCGGAGGCTTCTGAACTTCGCGAAGGCGCGCGAGGCCGCTCGCCAGGGGAGCCTCTGACGCGCATTTACGATAAGACTGTTTTATCCAGCTGCCCGCCTGAACTATCATGAACTATCTCCCCTGTCGCGGAGAGTATGAATCGAAGCAGCCTGTTCGAGCGCGCCCACTTTCGAGGCGCAAGCCGTCGCCGAGCGGAAGTTTAAAGTCCTCACGAAAGCGCGCAAGGTCGCTCACCATGCGAAGGGTGCACACTCGGGTATCCTACGCGAGTCGGCCATGATACGGGTTTATCTGGGTTTATTTGGTTGCCGAACTGGACTGGTTTTCCGAGCGGAGAGTGAAATTCGCCTCGGTCCGTTCGGGCGAGCGCGCTTCCGAGGCGCAGGCCGCCGTCGAGCGGAAGTGTCAGAACTGCAAAGCAGCGTGCGAGGTCGTCGACCAGAGGAAAGGTGCGCACTCAGGCCTCTGTCGCGCTAAGGCCGCGAGACTGTTTCTTCCCGCTCCCGAACTGAAGCTTGTTTCCCATTGCGCGAAGAGCAGCGATCTTCGCAGCCTGTTCGATCGCGCGCATTTTCGAGGCGCGGGCCGTCGCTGGGCGGTAGCTTCCGAATTCCAAGGAGGTGTATATACAATGTCGTTTATCCGAGGGGAGGTGCGCAATTGGGCCTCTGGCGCGCACTGGCTGTGAGACTGACACATCATTGCCGAGCTATAAAGATCGGCGCGGCCTTTTCGATCGCGCTCCTTTCCGAGGCGCAGACCGTCGCCGAGCGGAAGTGTCAGAACTTGTTAACAGGTTCGCAGGGTCGTTTACCAGATGAAGGGTGCGCACTCGGGCCTCTGACGCGCAGTGGCCATGATACTGATTTGTCCCGCGGCCGAACTGAAGTGCCGTCCAATCGCGCGGAGGGTAAAATCGGCGCGGCCTGTCTGCATGTGGCCGACCCGAGGCGCAGACCGTCGCCGAGCGGAATCTTCAGAACTTCGAGAAAGCGTGCGAGGTCGTGTACTAGAGGAAGGGTGCGCATTCCGGCTTCTGGCGCGCAGTGGCCACGCTGCGGACTCGCCCCGCTGCCGAACTGAACTGTCTGCTCCGTCCCGCGGAGACTGGAAATCGACGCAGCCTGTTCGGGTGCGCCCATTTCCAAGGCGCAGGCCGTCGCCGAGCGGAAGCTTCAGAACTTCAAGAAAGCGCGCAAGGTCGTTTGCCAGAGGAAGGGCGCGCGCTCGGGCATCTGACGCGCTGGGGCCACGAGACTTCCGCATCCCGCTGCCGAGCTGAACTGCCTTCCCTATCGCGCGGAGGGCAAACGTCGAATCAGCTTGTTCGATGCCGCACTTCCGCGGCGCAGGCCGTCGCCACGCGGAATCTGCAGATAACTTCAAGGAAGCGCGCGGGGTCGCTTGCCAGAAGAAGGGTGCGCTCACGAGCCTCTGACGCACGCTGGCCATGAGACGGATTTACTCCGCTGCCGAACCGAATGCAATGGTCTCTCTTGTCGCGCGGAGAGCAAACATTGACGCATCGGCCCCGCGCAAGTCCCTTGGGTTTTCTTCGCGGCGCTCACAACTTGGAACTCGGGGAAGTGTAACGACGCCGATAATGGCGGAAGGCTGGCGGAAGTAGGAGGGCGCCCCTTCCGAGCCCCCCTACCCCCCTAGAAGATTAGCAAGGCGGCCTTCTTGTGTTAGCCGGGCGGGATCCTGCCTGGCTCAATCGAATCAAGATCCCACCCGTTAGAAACGGGGTGCACCAATATCCCATCCCGTTCCCAGATCCTTCGAGCTTGGGGTAGACCCGACGCAAGATGGGGCTGCACATTTGCAGCCTCCTTGTCGTGTTGGGGTCGTGCGCAGGTCATCTTGAGACCGTTTTGACATCCTATCCGGCTCACTGTTGGATCACGCGGACGTCACCGGGTCATCCTGGAACCGCTTCGGCCGCGCTTAGATCCATCTTGTGGGCATCGTGCCATCTCTGGCTCACTTTTTGCTCGTAGGTTGGGCCATCTTACACTTAGCCTGAGACGATCCTGCAGCCATGTTGGGATTATGTCGAGGCGGCGCTATCCCGGGGTCGCTTGGAGGTCGTCGTCTGTGGTCGGCGCCCTCTTGGCGCCATGTTGTGGTCATGGGTCACTTGGGGATCGTCTCTGGGTGAGCTCTGAGCACGCGTCTACAACGCGCCATCTTGCCGAAGGCGCACATGGAAATACATATTCCTGCAAGTTCCCAACGATAGTTTAACTGGGGCAAGGTATTAATGACTCGCGAGTCATTCGTAACTCTGGAGCTGTAGTTGACTCCCGGGTGACACGGGGGACGGGGCGGGGGAATGGCCTCGCGAGCTGCACAATACGTTGGGTGTATGACGACCGCATGAAGTATTGACAGCTCATGTTTATGATAAGGCACGAATTGTAACAAGCCCGGTTTTACTATGATCTCATGGATCGGACGGGCGACGGCGGGTAAATGGCCTCGCGAGCTCCGCACCACTCCGGAAGTAGTAATGCTCCAGGATTTGCTGCAGCTTATGACATATTTTTCTTTCATGCTTCATTCGTAGTTCTACAATCGTTCGTGTTTCCAAGCTGCGACGAGGATGGGACGGGGGAAGGGTTTCGCTAGTTCCGCCTTGCTCTCGAAAGTTAGCAGGTCAGGAGTGTGGATAGATCATGAGTTGTTGATAACTCATGAGTTGATCATATGTCGAGAGTTCTAAATAATTCCCAGGCGGGACGGCGAACGGGGCGGGGGAATGGCCTCGCGAGTTGAGCTTTGTTCAGGAATGATTATCACATCCTAAAGCACGAATCATTAATACTTACCGAGCTATGCATCACTTACGACTTATTAACCATTCGGGATTTATTCTTCGCCAGTGAGTTATACATAGCTGTGGGGAACACCCTGCGCCGTTCGCCCATAGCGCCGGCGAGTTATCGTATCAAGGTGTGTCCCATGTTTGTGCGGCCGTAGGGACTGTGCGCAATGGGGCTTCAAGGTCTCAGGGTCTTCGGGCATTGGAACCCGAGGGTTTCGGCGCGTTTGCGTTGTAAAGTTGTCTGGATATAGGACAGATCTCGTTGGCTTGTGATTTTGGGAATGTTACGGCCCCGTGGCTGATGAGTGTTACCAATCATAGCGGTTGATATGGGGGCCACTTCGTTCATCGGGAACGTTTCGGTCATCAAGGCCTTGGGTCTGTCCAGGGCTTTGGGGTCTTACGGTCTCTGGGTCTTGTGGCCAAGCCCCGAGCCCCTAGCACAGTGGTCTTGCAACTCCACCCCGTGTCTCTCTAATCTCGAGTCCTGCGGAGCGCGTCGGCTGCCGGTGTCAGGGCGGGGCCTCAGGGGGCCGTTGTGCCGTCGCCTTCGGGCGCAGTCGTCCCGCGGGGCCGGAGAGAGGGTCTGCGCAGGGACAGCCTCGTTCCTCCCCAGTTCTTACCTATGCTCCCTTCTCGCCCCGTGCTTCTCCAGGCCCTCCTGAGCCTGGGAACCCCCGAACTAGCGGGGATGCGGCAGCCGAGGTCTGGATCCGCGCGAGCCCCAGGCCGCTCGAGGAGATGCGCATGGGCTTCGCGGTGCGATCCGTGTGCCAGGCCCGGGCTCTCAGCCCCGCCAGCCGCGAGCGAGCAGCGCGGTGCCACGCCAGGCTGCGGCTCCTTGCGCCCTTGCCCGCCGCTCCTGCCCCCCGCCGCCCTCTCGGGTTCCACAGGGGGTTCCCGAGCACGCTGGAGCGCTTGGACTTGGCCCGCCCGCGGCCCCCGGAGCCGCACCAGAGGTCACCCTTGGAGGAGGAGGAGGAGGAGGAGGAGGAGGAGGAGGAGGAGGAGGAGGAGGAGGAGGAGGAGGACTCTTGCGTGCAGCCGACCTCTGCCGACGGGGAGGGGGCCACTGGGGGCCTCAGCGGGCCGCCTCGCGAGAGGCCGTCTGCCGGGGGGAGAGCGTCTCGCCGGGGCATCACCGAGGGCTCGGGGCTTCAAGACGAACCGAGGGCCCCAAGGTACCCAAGCCTGCAGAGAAGGGGGGCTGGGCGGGACCGGGACCTGGTCCCGCCTCGTCCTAGTCACCAGGACCCTCTCGATGCGTCCTCGCACCGGATCCTACAACGCCCCGCGAAGCCTGACGCAAGTTTTCCCGCCCCCCCCCCCCCCTGGCGCCCCCAATTTCAATGTTCAGTTGCGCGCGCGGCGCGGTCCGCGGACGCCGACGTAACAGATCAAGTCGCGCGTTTCGGCATCGGCAGCGCAATTTTGGGGGTCTCGGTGCGCCGCCGCGGCGCGAGAACAGCTTGCTTTAGGTTTCGCGGGGGGGATGTAGCCTCGTCTTGGCTTCGTCTTAGGATTAAGTCGGGCCTGTCCCTCTAGAGGGGGAATATTCAAAAATAGTCAAAAAATAGAATGGGGACGAAATGTTGAACATTTGTTTGACATTTTTTAATGAATAAATAGATATTCTTCATTTTTTCCTCGAAAATCCCCCTGTAGGGGGACAGGCCCGACTTCATCTTAGGAGGGGGCCAGATCGCCCGGGTCGGGCGGGTGGCTGCTGGGGAGCAAGAAGTAAAGGGCGGGGCGGGGGGTCGAGGACTGCAGGGAGCAGCGGTCCTGCAAAGGGCGCCCAGGCGGCCCCCGAGCTGCCACCGCGGGCCAGAGAAGGTGCGCGCAGGGTGCTGCCGCGGGCCCCAGGCGGGCCCGGAAGGGGCCGGAGCGGCACCTGAAGCGCCGCCGCAGGCCCAGAAGGGGCTTTAAAACGACGCGAAGATCGGAACAAAATCGGATCGGGATAACTCGAAATCTCTGAGAATCGGCGGGTTTGGAGGATGTATTGGGCGCCGCGGCCGCTCCAGAGCGTTCCGGAACGCTCTGAGAGCGCTCCGGAACGCTCTGGAGCGATTTATCCCGATCCTAGCCCTGTTTTAGGCCTCAGCGGGCCCTCGACTGCCACCGCGGGCCCTGAAGTGCCACCGCGGGCCACCGCCTCTTCACCCCACGTGAGGCGCCTCCCCGCTATAGCAGGCACCCGGCCCGGGGCGGGGGAAGGTGTCCTCCAGAGGCGGAGGTCGAACCTGAGCAGTGGAGGTCTGTGAGCCCCTGGGAGGACTCTGCGCTCTGAGCCCCTGTGGGACTGCCCTAACGGGGGGCTCCAATTCTAGTCTGTTCCGCCTCGTGGCGTTCGTTGCCCTCCTACGTTGCATGCAGCCTCAACCATCATGCCTACAAGGACGACGGTGCAAGGTGCGGCACGGCAGGAACATAAGTAAAGTTGTTAAAGTAATGCGACGGAATGGGTTGGTGGGGTACGGTGTCGGACGATATGCGAGCGCGCCTATACTGCCTCCTCATGCCAGTCTTCCTTTCGCCATTGACTGCGACGGGCGTGGTTGTTGTGATCCTCCTGATCACATCGGGCTGCACGTGCCTCCCCTGACATCCCCACGCCCTGTCCATGCAGCCTGGATTGTTTGGAGAGGCTGGGCGCATTCGGGGCGCCCCCTTGGCAGGGCATCGTGTGCCTGGGCGCGCCCTGCTCAACTCCCCTTCAGCTTCTGCGCTGCCTCGTAGTCAGGTGTGCCGTGCCGTGAGCCCTCTCGGCATCTTACTGCCATGCGGACGTTGTTGCTCGCCGCCTGCAACACAGGGTTCTGCATGCGCGAGGAAGCGGCTTGTGGCCCCAGCTGGCCAGGGGCCCAGGCTGCGCAAATGCAGGGAAGATGCATCACAGCGGTGGCAGCGGCAGCGGCAGCGGCGCTGGTGGTGGCGGTGACTGTGGTATTGGTGGTAGTGGCAGTGATGACAGCCGCGATGGTAGCGCTGCGGAGGGTTATAATAGCCATCTCTGGGACCATGACATCCCATTGCAGTCATCAGCAGGTGGGCGGCGCTCGGTCCAGCGGACCACTCCAATACGCTACACACCCTTGACTGCGCAAGAAAATGAGCGCCAGGTCATCGTGGCTGCTATTCGGAGATTGGCGGGGGCTAACTTCGCCCATTCGTTCGGCAGCACGGGAGGCGAGCTCCCGCACATGACCTTGCCATTGTTCAGCGTGCTCCAGGCCGGGCGCATTTATGGCATTGGGGCAGGATTCTGAGTTTCACTTTGAGAACTTGCTGGGGTTCCCGCTACATAAGTTGTACGACGGTGCACTTGTGAGTCAAGGTGTCTGGTCGCAACTGTTGTTGAGGCTGGTCACCGAAGGTTGGCGGTCACAGTTGATATACTGTCATGCATCCAGCTGCTTGCGTCTAACCCAGCCACTGTGCCTGTGCAGCAGCAACGCAGTAAGTGGTTTGAACTCTTGACGCTTCGCGGATCCCCACCAGCCTGTCTTAAAACAGACACCAGGCGAGTTGCCCTGATCAGAGATGTGTAGCGTCTTGCTTGAGGGGTTCCCTGTCGTTGCCTGCGGTGCCTGTATTGCGTCGTGCGTACCCGGGGCCGCATTGGTAGAGAAATTGCTTGTCGTTCATCGTCTTGCGCGCGTTGCTTTGGGCACGCGAACACCGACGAGTCGCGCGCTGATCAACGACAGGCAACCACTCAACCCAGGCAGCAGCGGGAGCGTTTGCCCCCAACCATTGCCTACATGGCAAACCCGGGGCAGTCTCCACTGACGATTGCAGGACAAGGTGCCCTTGATCAGGGAAGTGTAGCAGCAAGCAGCGTCACAAGGGTGGAGGAGAAGGAGGAGGAGGACGACGATAGGAGTCTATATGAAGAGGAGGAGGAGGAGGACGACGACGACATGAGTCAATATGAAGAGGAGGAGGAGGACGACGACAACAGGAGTCAATATGAAGACCCTTTTGACCTCTCGCCCTGGGAGCGTCTTGGGGGCCTCTTGGGGCCATCGTGGGGCTCTGTCATGGGGCTATCTTGGAAGCCTCTGGCGTCCTCCTGAGGCTCTTGTGGGGGCCCTCGTGCGGGCCTTTGAGGGCTTTCAGAGGCCACCTCGGATACCATCGATCGGAAGAGGGGGGGCCGCCGATTTCGGTCCCCCGTCGTGGCCTGAAACCTCCCTTCGTTGATCGATGGCCTCCACGACTGCTCCAAGATTGCCTCCAAGAGGGCCCAAAGGGAGCCCCAAGAGGGCCTCAAGAGAGCTTCAAGAGAGCCCCAGATGCCTCCAAGATGGCCCCAAAAGGCCTTACGATGGCCCCAAGAGGCCTCCAAGACGCTCCCAGAACGACGCACGCACGGCGAGCAATGACAGGCAACCGCTTCACCAAGGCGGCCCTGGGCACGCACGACGTCATGCGGGCACCGCAGGCAACGACACGCAACCACTCAACCTGGACAACCACGAGGAGCCGCGTTTCGCACGCAACGATGCGGACGCCACTCATCAGAAGAGGGAGCCTGCTGCTGCTTTGGTCGAGTGGTTGCCTGTCGTCGCTCCCTGATCAGGACAACTCGGCTGGTGTCTGTTTTGGATGGACCAGCGGGGATTCGCGAAGAGTTAATAATTCCCCAATCAGTCCTTGCACTGAAGGTGTCCTGGCGGATCTTGAAGGATTTGACGAAAGTTGGCGGCCGATTTCGGTAGGCGGGCCGGGTTCCCAGGTTCCCGGTTGCATGTTCCCGGGTTCCCGGTTGATGGTTCCGGGCCGATTTCGTTGGGCGGCTGGGTTCCCGGGTTTGCGGTTTCCTTGGTTCCTGGTCGATCTCTTTATCGATCGGCCTCACTCCATCGATCTCACTACCCACCTCTTCTATCGATCTCACAATCGACATCACTACAGATTGCAAGTGCGATCTCACGATCGATTTCACGATCGATCTCACTGAATCGACTCCACTATCGGTCTCACGATCGACCTTACTATCGTCCTCACTGTCGATCCCACGATCGATCTTTATCGATCTCACAATTGATCTCAATATCCACATCACAAACTTTCAAACCATCCACTGATTGGGTTTTTCCTCTGGTGTAACTTAGTATGGAGAATGACCCCAAATCGGCTTCGGAGAGGGAGGCGTTTTTCCCCAATTAGTGGTTTCACTGAAGGTGTCCCAGCGGATGTTGAAAGATTTGGCGAAAGTGCCCGGCCGATTTCGGTAGGTGGCCAGGTTCCCGGGTTCCGGTTTCCGGTTTTCCCGGTTCCCAGTTGCTGCTGGTTCGGGGCCGATTTCGGTGGGCGGCGGGGTTCCCAGGTTTCCGGATTCCTAGTCGATCTCTATCGATCGGTCGCACCATCGATCTCATCACCCACTTCTCTATCGATCTCATTATCGATCTCACAATCGATCTCACGATTGATCTCACAATCGATCTCACTACAGATCGCACGAGCGATCTCACGATCGATCTCGCTATCGATCTCACTGAATCGACTTCACTATCAAGTCCACGATCGACCTTATTATTGTCTTCATTATCGATCCCAATATCGATCTTACTTTCGATCTCACAATCGATCCGAATGTCCATATCACTTGCTTTCAAGCCATCCACTGACTGGGTTTTCTCTGGTGTAAATTTTACGATGCATGCGGCGAGGGGGCATAAGACACACAAGAAGCACATCACCAGACATTATATGAGGATTCTAAGACGCTCAATCCGTGCAGGCACGGTGGCGGATACATATATCTCAAGGTCATCATGCTTTGGGCACGAATGGATAAGCAAGCGAATCTGCAGCCCCCATTTCGTACATCTGGTGTGCCTGATCTCCTTGTGCCACGTGCTCACGAATCATTAGGGCAGCAATTAACCAGAACCTTGTCATGAAGGACCATCGTTATGGCCACTGAGATCATCGTCACTGGTCATTTTGGCGGCGGGTGGCGGGCATGTGATACTGTTCTTGCGGAGGTGCGTTTGGGCAAAG